CATGCAGATGTAGAATCATAGAAATATAGAATGGTTTCAGTTGGAAAAGACCTTCAAGAACATGGAGTCCAACCATCAAAACAGCCCTGAGTCCAACACCAGACCATGTCTCTAAGCACAACATCTGCTTGTCTTAAACATCTCAAGGGATGGGGACTCCATGACTTTGGTCATGATGGGCAGCCCCTTCCAGTGGTTGACCACTCAGTAAAGAAATTCCTCCTCATATCCAATCTAACCTTCCTCTGGTACAATTTGAGTCCATTCCCCTTGTCCTATCACTGGCTACCAGGGAACAGAGACTGGCCCCCACTTCGCTACCCTCTCCTTTCAGGAGCTGTAGAGGGGATAAGGTCTCCCTCACCTCCTCTTCTCCAGGCTGAACCCCCCAGCTCCCTCAGCCACTCCCTGTCATTCAGGTGCTCCAGATCCCTCCCCAGCTCCATTGCCCTTCTCTGCCCACGCTCCAGCCCCTCAATGTCCTTCTGGGAGTGAAGGGCTCAAAACTGAACACAGGATTTGAGGAGCGGCCTCACCAGTTCCCAGTACAGGGGAAGGATCCCTGCCCTGCTCCTGCTGGCCACACTATTTCTGATACAGACCAGGATGGTGTTGGCCTTCTTGGCCACCTGGACACTCTGCTGGCTCCTGTTCAGTCACTGTCAACCAACACCCCTAGGTTCCCCATATGATGGCTTTTTTAGATGAAAAAAGGAAATAAAGAAGCACAAGAGAGATGGAAAGTCCTATGTGACCTTTTTAATGAAGATAATTTTGCCCAGATGCAACATACATGGTGTGACTCTCATGTTTCAGTGATTCTTCAGTCACACATTGGAATAGGTACAATTGTTTAATGCTCATGGCTGTTGATAAATGGAAAGTTTTATTTCTCAACTACTGTCTAAATCACTGACAGTTATTCAAAACTGGACTCTGCTCAATAGTAGGTCAAAAAGGACGTGTGCTGCTCCTCAGTCACATTCCTCTTTCAGAGTTTCTCCTTTATTCTGCTTCACAGGGGATTCCTCTGTTAACCAGCTGATCCAGAAACTTGAGATATGAGAAGTGTCAAGACCTGGATTCTATTTTTTTAACATTGAACATAGAATCTCATTTGAATACAAAAATGGGATATTGAACAAATTCATGAGTATGCCTGTCTACCTAAATATATATTTGAGGGTTTTTACGGTTTGCTCTAAAGCAAGCTTTTCCCAATAACTGTAACTTTTCAGTGAATATTAAAAATATATCTCATTATTCTCAGAGATGGGTCTCTTCTTATGTATAGTAGTTTTGCACTAGACTCCACAGGAGACACAGTAAATGAAATAAATTTCAGAGGTTTCAAAAACAATCAGGCACAGAGAAAATAAAACAAATCAAACAAGTAACATTTCTGTAATGAAATCTGTTTTACAAGCCTAGCACAGAAACCAGGGGAATCAGTCACATAATAGTAAACATCAACCTGTCATTAAAAATACTTTTTGAAAAGGCAATTCATGTTTTTTTGGCCTTTTTGCCTCAATCTCCCCCTTCACAGGCTTCCTGGCAGCAAGACTTGGGATAATCTCCTGGAATACCTGAGGCATAGGAGCCAACAGGATTAAAGCACCTCGTGCGCCTCATGTGATGACCTGCTGATCCCAGCAAAAGACATTGTTTCCCAGCAATGTTCTTGCTTCATCTGCCCATGCGTTGTTCCTGCCCTGCTGGGATTCTCCTAAGTATAATGAAATGATTTGCGATGCTTTTAGTAAAAAAAAAAATAAAATCAACAAAACTACACTTTCTAGTAACAGTGATAGCTGAAGAAAACAGTGGATAATTCATGTGTAATTTGCTCAGAAGGAAAACAACTGCTGTCCCTTTGCTTCAAGGGGCAATTTCAAAGGATATATGGATTCTAGGTGGAAAACTATATTTTTTTCTGAAAAGTTGCGGCCCTTGTGAAGTTTCTTTTCTGATGGAAAAGGCAGCTTTCACTGAAATATAAAAATGCGAAGCCAAACCATTTATGCTGGTTCTGCCCTATGTTCACACTTAATCTGACCGTATTTATGTCTGTTTCCTCTTAAAAAAATAGATAGTTCCCCCCAAATAGTTTATTTTCCCATTTTTAGGTTCACTGTGCTTATTTAACTGATCAGATTCTTCTTGATCTATTTTAAACAACCATTTACTCTAAAGCATATAATGAAACAAGGAATTTGAAGAGACAACAATTGTTTCTGTGTCCAAATTTTAATTTTACTTCCTCTCCAGTTCCCAGAGAACAGTCATGTGCTAGGCAGATGAAAGTTTATAATAAATGCTTGTATTTTGAAACCTGTAGGGAGTGGGGAAAAATAGTCACTTGGCTTTCACCCAGAACATGTGATAATCAGATTAACCCTGAAGTGTATTTTGTGTGTAAATGCACCCAGGGTAGGAATGGGGAAGGACATTGGAGGCTACAGCATAGGAGAAGTCAGCAGTGAAGCATTCCTGGTGGAGGGAAAGAATTTCTTTCCCACTCGGGACTTCAGAGGGGCCAGAGAGAGCGCTCCATGCAGTGAGGTGTGACACCGATGCTCTCCTGCTGCTCCATGAGGATGTCACTCTTTGCCATGGGTTTTTTGCTCGTCATCCTCCAGCCGTGCACTGGGCAGTTTCCCAGAGCCTGTGCGAACACACAGAGCTTGCTGAGGAAGGAGTGCTGTCCCCCCTGGGATGGAGATGGGTCCCCTTGCGGGGAGCTTTCCGGCAGAGGGTCCTGCCAGAACATTCTTCTTTCCCAGGCTCCGCTGGGACCACAGTTCCCTTTCTCAGGGGTGGACGACAGAGAGGACTGGCCCTCAGCATTTTACAACCGGACGTGTAGATGTGCAGGCAACTTCATGGGATTCAACTGCGGGGAGTGCAAGTTTGGTTTCTCAGGACACAACTGCACTGAGAGGCGACTGAGAACGAGAAGAAACATCTTCAAGCTCACCACCAGTGAGAAGGACAAGTTTCTCGCCTACCTTAACTTGGCAAAGAACACCCTTAGCCAGGAGTATGTAATTGCTACTGGCACGTACACTCAGATGAACAACGGCTCCAGACCTATGTTCAGAAACATCAACGTGTACGACCTCTTTGTGTGGATGCATTATTATGCCTCTCGAGACACATTCTTAGGTGGGTCAAACATATGGCGGGACATTGATTTTGCCCACGAAGCCCCTGGTTTTCTGCCTTGGCACCGGGTCTTTCTGCTGATGTGGGAACAGGAGATGCAGAAGTTAACAGGTGACGAGAACTTCACCGTCCCCTACTGGGACTGGCGAGACGCAAAGGACTGCGCAGTCTGCACTGATGAATACATGGGGGGCAGACATCCCAACAACCCTAATTTACTCAGCCCAGCATCATTTTTCTCCTCGTGGCAGGTAAGGACAGGCCAATGGGAATGGAAAGGCTGATTGTGCCAGAGTCATCGTATTTATATAGGTGATAATGTCTTATATCTCTGAACTATACTGTGTTGTTCTGACACTGAGAGCTTCTAGACTTTTAATTCTTTGTGTTCATTACTGCCACATAGCCTAAAATACAGTGACAAGGGTCCACTGACCATCACAACAGTAGCACCAGTGCTAGAGTTTATGATTACGTTGGTATAGATCAATCTTTGTTCAATTTATTTCTGTAGCAACTGGCCCAATGAATGTTGAGGAGTTTTAGTGATTTATCAGAAAGTGAAAGAGACACAAGCTCCAGCACCTCTGTGATATTCTGGCATTACAAACCAGCAACTAACTGGGCTTGCTGGGCTGGTTTTACTGTATTTAATCTTGATTTGTGTCCTCCGAATAATATAGGCTGTGTATATACCTGTAAATTCAAGCATTCACAGATACAGTAACAGACCTATTTTAGGACATTCTGTAGCATACATTTTGTATATATTGACTAGTTCTCCCCCAAAACAGGTACTTTTCAGGGACCATTCCCAGGAGAACGTATGCATACAGACTCCCAAACTGGGTGGCTAAGATGATTTTACTGGCATAGACTGGGACTATTTCATGCCCAGGAAATTTCCTGGACACATTTACCAGTGTAGGCATTGCTATAAAATAGATATAACTACAAGCACGTTTTCATGCCATTTTCTAAGGTTCTGCTCGTTTCTGACAATATGAACTGGGACGAACTTAAGGAGATTGTGTTGCCAGAAGGTAACAGATCTAATGCTCCTCTGCACGGAGCTGAATAAAGAGTCATGTGAAAACGGTAGAAGTGTTAAAGTGGATTAAATTAAACTAGAATTGCGCTGGTTACATGTGTCAAGTGGAGCTATCATTACGATACATTGGATGAGATAACCAAGGTAGTAGGAGGCAGAGAGTACGAAGGAATCAGCAAGTTGTTAACAGAGCTTTCTGAAATATCTTAAGGGGTCAGATAGTTAAGTTTAGCTCATTTCTTCAAAGGTGTTATTAATCATATACAGAATCTTAGATTTTTTGCATCCTGGTAATTAGTATCCAGCAACTTTACAAGTAGTAATGAATATATTTAAGAAACAGACAGGTTTAAAACTTCCCATTTAATGTCAGTTCCCACCGATAAATTCTGAAGATAAAGACAAGTTTTTTCTGAAACAGTTTGCTTTAACAGATACTTTTGTATAATTCCAATAGGTGCAATAATAAAAATTGTGCTATATTCGTGTATGTAAAAGCATCAAAGTTCTTTGCTGAAGTTTTCCAAGTAATTTCTGAAAATGGGTGCTAGTCACTTATATTTTTAAGGCACTTCTGGAAATATTACATTTTTATCAAAATTTCAAGATAAGGACTACAATAACTTTACCTTCAAAGGGTATTATTTCCCTTTAACATCTTTTATCTATGTATATCTCTGCTGCCTTATCTAGAGAAGGAATGAAAGGGATTGAACAGCTCTTCATTCAGTGAGTTTGGTGTGAAGATGCAACACAAAATGATCTTTATTTATTAGTCTTGAATCCAAAATTAAACAATTTCTTTTGATGGAATAACTTAGTCAATACACTTCCTTCAAGTAGCACAAAGTAAGAGATCAAAATCTCACTCCAGAAAATCAAACGAGAACAAAAATAGCTTTAGCTTGAACCGGAAAACAGCCATAGATCTGCTGCAGAACACGCTGATTATCCAAGCTCTGTAGATAAACAGCAAGAGAAAATAAAAAAATAAAAAAGGGAGAAGGATCCAGAAATGTGAAGGAATTTAGACTTTTAATAAGCACTCAAAATAAAAAGAAGGCAGGAGAAACCTTTTGAATAACAGATCTATAATATGGTGTCCTTTTTAAAATTTTAAGTCTTCTTCCAAAGCACAACAAAATAATGCCTGCTATGTTAGCAAATAGTTATAGATTTATATAAAAAAAAAGGTTGAGTGCCTATTTGCAGAACAGCATCTCTCTTTTTTTTAAATCCCAAAAGAAAGGAGAAAATACTTTATTCCATTGAGAAGTTGCCATGGCAACATGGATACCCATGAATACATGCTGAAAATTCTTGCTTTTGCCTTACTTTTTCTTCAACATGCCACTGTTACCACTTAACCAAGCAAATTATCTGTCCACATTTTTCTCATGTTTATCACCTAAGTGAAACTTCTCATTCCTGCCTCTGGCTTTTTTTTTTTACCAGCAAAACTATCAGGAACCTTTAGTGTTTTTATTTGTTTGCTTGGCGCCTGTATTAGCATAGGTGGGAAGGATTTTCTCATGTTTTCAGTTACTTGTTTGTGATGATTCAAGTGTTGCATTCAGAATTAGGACTGCATGACACCTACTAATGCCTTACCAAATTTTGCAATTTTGTGCCGACTTAGCGGAAAGCTGTATGGGAAATTAAGGTCTTCTGTGACATTTTGAGAGTGTTTTGTTTTAGTGCCTGTTTCCATAATTATTCAAGATAATGGACTTGCTGAAGAAGTCATTATTACGCTTCACTTCAATAGCAGTAGGTCAAATTTTGCTCCAGTTCTGCTAATTTGGAAAAATAACTGAAGTCAATGGAGTTACAGATGCATAAAAAGTCTTCTAGAAATAAAAGCAGAATCTTTTTGCTGGTGGAGTCTGGGGATCCCCACAGGGTTCTAGAAAGAAAATAAATCAGGAGAACGCAAGTGCTGCTTTAGGTTTGCTATTGCAGCAAGCAGGCTATACCACCGAATTTAGCCTCCTGTATTTTGTCTCTCCAAAAAAAGAGTGACTTGAGAGAAGTAATTGCATAACATGGAGAGCTGCCTGCTCTCAGGTGTGCTGGTGTCAGCCTGCAGCCAGCTCTTTGTTGCGAGCACAGAGAATTTCCCTTCTCACTTCATTTCCTATCACCTCGCAGAACCACTTGCACGAATGCAGAGCTACTACAAAAGGAAAACAAGTTACACAGAAAAGGTATATAGTGCTCCTGAACTAATAACGATGGTACTTTAGATCCATTACCTGAAAATATGACTTCGTAAGAAATACAAAATTCAGCTATTCAGAGAGTTATTTAAGCACAGTTTATCAAGGAGATGTACTGCTAACTGAATAGTCTGAGAAAAAAATTTGAAGCATTATTTTATGTCCACCTTTAAAGACGGCATCGAAAATGCACACACCACACTTCTTGATTCTTAAATCAGCCAAAGTTTTACATCCATCTGCTTGTAGACACCCGAGTATCTCATGAACTCAATGAGTATGGATTTTATTGCAGCTTAATAGGTTTTGGTGCCAGGAACAGGCTGGTAAATTAAAAAACAACAGCCTAAATGGAGTAGGTAGCTGTAAAATAAGAGTTTATCAAGATTGGCCTCCTAATGGCATGCTTAAATGGATTATAAATTTGAAATATTTCCTATTACAAAGAGATAAGTCTCCACATGCCACACCTGTGCTTGCTCAGGAGTCACACAGTGTAAAAGATAAACGACTTTGGAGGTGTACAAATTAATAGCTGAGGCATTTCATAATAACGGGGTTTTGTCAATAATTCACCAGAAAAAGCAGCCTACCTGCAGAGGGATGTGTCTTTGTGAATTCGCAGTAGACATGGAGACAACAATGCTAACGGTGCAGCTTGCAGACAGCCAGAGAGCAGGGACTCGCTGTCTGCCAAACCAGAATGTGTTAACGAGTATTTCAGCAGTAATTGATAACAGTTTCCCACTCCACCTTAGCAGGGTTTTGAGGTGCTGAATGGGCTGTAAGTGACCCTCCAGTTCTGGACTGCCTCTGAGTAAAGAGATGAAACTCAGCCAGCTTTTGCTGAAGACTGAGAAAATACCTTGAAGGCCCTGGGTTTGTTTCAGTGCTGTCTGTTCGTGTTTGTCTCATCTCCTTTTAGCTTGAGTTTCACAGCTCTGCTAGTTAATGCATACTCCATGAGGGTCATACAGATTATTAATGACCTAGCAACAAAGATGTTTCTTAGAATTTCTTTGAAGCTTTGCTTTCCAAATTTTTTTTCTTTTCACTCAGTCCTCTGCCTGTTTTACCTTTCCATTCCTACTAATATTCAGAAGTACATGAAAAACCAGGTATAAATACACACAGTCTCTTAAAAATGTTTTGATCTGCTACAGATACAGAACCTTTTAAAGTTCGGCCTATAAAACCAAGGTCCCAAAGTACAGTTTGTTCTGTTGCAGGTTATTTGGGGGTTTTCTTGCATATTCCCAGTTTGGTGAGTAGAATCATAGAACAGAATCACAGAATCATGAAGGTTGGAAGAGATCTCTAAGATCAAGTCCAACCATCAACCCAATCCCACCATGCCCTCTAAGCCATGTCCTCAAGTGCCACATCCACCACTTCTTGAACCCCTCCAGGGATGGGGACTCCACCACCTCCCTGGGCAGCCCCTTCCAGTGCTTGACCACTCTTGCAGTCAAGAAATTTTTCCTCACATCCAATCTAACTCTTCCCTGGCGCAACTTGAGGCCATTTCCTCTTGTCCTATCACTGGTTACATGGGAGAAGAGATCAACACTTATCTCTCTACAACCTCCTTTCTGGTAGCTGTAGAGAGTGATAAGGTCTCCCCTCAGTTTCCTTTTCTCCAAACTCTCCTCTCTTTCAATACTGTAGAAAATTATTAATCACCTTTTTTCAGGTGTTCAAGTATTAGACATATTGCATGTCCCTGTGCGCACAGATGTACTAAGCCCAAAGCAACCACTAAGAATTTGCCACCAAAACCCCCAAAGCTTTGAATTTAAAAATAGAAGATAAAGAACTGGTGACTGCTGAAGGCTCCTGTAATGCAATTCACTTTATTTGGGCACAGTGGCTGGTCTGTGCTAGCCATCGTAAACTAAAAGACAAACGGGTTTCCCATTTGCGAAAAGGTGCGAGACAGCAGCGATGCTTCTGCACATTTATGGCCTGAGAAACGATACAAATTGCTGTGCTAAAGATCTCAACTGCAGTGCAATATTTTTTGCTGGGTGCTGCAAGACCCAGGAGCGAAGCTGCATATTCTGGGCTGCCATCTACTGGCGTTTGCTCTGCTAACTCCTTACATAAGCTTTTCTTCCGAGTACCTTCCTAACAATTTCCCTGGATCCGGTAATTTTAGGCATGCAGGAGAGCAGGCACTCGGTGCGGTCTGAATATAAGCTTTGTCCAGGGTAAACTGAGAAATTTGCTCAGGACTGTTCTGAAGGGGAACCAAAAAAATAATCACAGAATCACAGAATCACA